ATTTGCCATATTACTACCTGCTGTAGGGTAAACATTTTCAATTTTTTTCTTTTTATAATAATGATAAATCAAAAATGCCACTGCACCTATTAAAATGATGGCACCTAGAGTAGCACCTACACCTATACCTATTAAACGTGCATCATATTGTGAAGCTTGTGAAGCTTGTAAAGCCTGTGAAGTTTCTGAAGCTTGTGAAGTTCCTCCTGTTGTTGCATTTGGTAGATTAGGACTGTTTGTGGTAGTAGAAGAGTTGGATTGTTGGTCAAATCTTGTTACCCAAGTATATGTATGGGTATCAAATAAATAGATTTCACTGGATGATTGTGTGAACAAACTTAATGACCCTAAAAAATAATAAATTATAAATTGAATTTTCACATATTTTTAAAAAATCACACTATTATATAGTTATATATATATAATTACCAAAGGCCACTATCATATAATTTCCAACCAAATTGGCTGTATGTTGCATTAGAGGTGGAGGTGGAGGTGGATTGGATGGAATATTAGGAATTGACCAAGAATATGGACTATTGTTTGTATCTAACAAGACCATAGCTGGTTCTGACATTGTACCATTCTCAGTGTTAGCACCTCCATATATTATAATTTTACCATCTGGAGCTTTTTATAACATTTGAAAAATTATTTATTATTATTCATAATTTTTTAAAAACGAAGTTTAGTGAAATTTAATTTACCTAAAACAGCTGTGTGATAAAAACGTGTCTGAATGACATCTCCAACTGCAGTCTAAAAGAGAAAAATTAGTAAATGAAAATTTTAATTTTTTAAAAGAAAATTAAAATTTATATTTACATACAGTTGTTGACCATTTTGAAGATTTTGTGTTATATACTAGAACCTATAATAAATAAAATTATTATTAATAAATTATTTTTGATAAAGAAACAATCTTTCATATTACTTACTGTATTAATGTCAACTGTTGTAAATTTATCAGTATATCCACCAATATATAAAATTTCACCACTTTTTAACAAAACACCTGGGGCATGTGTTCTTCTGTAAGCTGGATCTGCATCACCACCATTTGACCACATTAAATTGATTGTGTCTAATATATACATATTGTTATTTGTTGTCACTCCCCCACCATTATCTCCACCAAACAAATACATTTTACCATTTTCATCAATAACAGACTTCACACCTGCATGTGGACCAATTGGTGGTGTGCCACTAATTGGAAGTCTTTGCCATGGACCATCAGGACTTGGAAATGCAAAAATCAAATCATTATTATCTATTGCATCTTGTAATATACCACCAAATAGAAATATTGTTGTATTATTATGACCGCCTGCACTTGCTGTTAGCCATGCACCCTTTACTGGAAAATTAGATATAACATCAACAAGTGGTGGTAATTTATCTGTAAATGATTTTGATAAATCAAGATAAAAGAAATTCTTCGAAAGAGCAGTATTAAAGACTCCACACATAACGTACAACTTATTATCTATTAATGCTGATGCATGTGCATAGCGCGCATAATGTTGATCTGTTGGCAAGGAATTTATAAAACCTAAAAGATATATCAATAAAATTGTTAATCGGTTTAGCATCATTGTTTGTTGATTATTAAGAATTAAATTTGTTTTTAGTCCATCCATTTTTACGTTTTGAAATATTAATTTGTCTTACTTACAACAAAAAACAAGTTTCGTCTAAT